AAGCCCAGAGCCATGTTCTGTTTGGGAGGTGTTAGTAAGTGGCAGATTTGGGCACCCAAATCCTTGGCTGAACTGAACTTTCCCCCTTTGAAGGGCTCAGTCTTTTCCCCCAGAGGTGGGTGCTTCCAAAATGTTGCCTTTGCTTTGCTGTTCTCCTCTGGCATCCCAAACCTCCTCCAGCTTCTGGCTGCAGTGCTCAGGCAGAAGCTGGAACCACCTGGAGCTGAAACTGTGCCCTTTATTACAAAAACTGCCTGGGAAACACCCGGATAGATGTGTAGGCAGTGCTCTGTGCTGTAGCAGGAAAAGTGGGAATGACTCCCATAGCTGTGCATGCAGACAGGGTGGGCCGGGAGCCCCTGTGCCTGAACCCCCACAACCCAACAGGCAACTGTAGCCTCATGCTGCAGGAAGCTGGCTGCTTCCATGGCACTAAATAACTTCTGAAAATGCGTATGTCAGCTTAACTGGCTTTGGAAAAGCGTGTTAAAAGTTAAACCTGTGTATTGCGGGGCTTGGGAAGTGAGGGAAGAGCAAAACTTCCTTGTGAGAAGCGGCGGGTGCAGTGCTGGGCTGTGGGAGGAGGGTGGCACAAAGCCTTTTCCCCACAGCCTTTGGCTGTGCTCTCTGGTACAGGCCCCTTCTAGAAAAGAAAAGGTTTGGAGTGGAAAAAAACCCTCTCTTCTCGGGCTGCTTTTAGCAGCCCAGTTGTGCTGTTGTTCTCCAGATGGTTTGTTCTGGGCTTCATCCTGTTCTGTCCTGCTGGGAACCCTCTGGGTGCATTTCTCCTCCTGTTATTCTCCCCTGTATTTGAGCATCCAGGTGTTTTGTGGGTTTAATTGGTTTTTTTTTCAGGTAAAACTCCCTGTCTCCACCTCACAGCTCCTGCCAACCCCCCACGTGCTGCTCTCCGCAACCCCGGCCCCCGTTGGGTGTGCAGGGAGTGCTGGGCACAGGGTGTCGGTGGGATGCTCCTGGACAGGAGCCTGGGACAGCATCTGGGGACTGTTGTCCCCAGGAAGGTCACCCAGAGGGGACTTCCATGGCTTTTGGAGCTCAGACATGAATTTTTCCCGTTGCCTGTGGGTCGAACATACCCTGTGGCTGCTCCGCTCAGCTCGTCCATGCCCTGGTCTCTCTGGCATTAATAACCAACTGCTATTCCCTTGCTGTTGGAATTTTTCTCTTTTTAAATTAATTTATTTCTGGGGGCTGCAGGAGCTTTGTGACTTGCTGCTCAGCTGGGTTTTAGCCAGGTTTAAATGCTGCCTTGCACCGAGTGATTCCTGTGGCAGCCAGGAGCAGGGTGTCCTGCTGGATTTGGGGAGGGAGGGATGTGTCACAGCAGCAGCAGGGGCTAAGAAAAGAGAGACAGATCAGAAGAAGCAGGGGGGGCTTCCCTTGTTGAAAAACAATCCTGTTTTTTTAATAGGTGAGATTCTTTGGGCTCAAGAACTGAATTGGGTGAGCCCTCCGGGCTCCCTGAGGCGTTGGCCCTTCCCCAGAGGAGTGGAGGGGGGGCAGCAGCTGGAGCACAGCTCAGCTGCTGAACCAGTCGCCCAGACTATGAAGGAAATATGATGGTGATCCAGCAAAAACTGGTGCTCCAGTCCCACCTTTTAGTGTGTGTCTAGAGGTGTGTGGGCATGGAGAACTGAGCCTTGGCAGAGGGAAGTGCAGAGGTGGAGCAGGAGGGATGGAGAAGCAGAGGTTGGTGACTGACCCATCAGGGTCATTGCTGCCCTGGTTATGGTCCTAGAGGAGCCTGGAGGATGTAGGGGAAGAGAGGACTGCGATTCCCGTGTCCCCTTCCAAAACCAAGAGCTTATTTGGGTCCAAGAGAAGATCAGTTGATGCCTGGTCTGTGATGTGCACCGTGCCTGGCTCTGGGCTCCCAGCACTGCTCCTCTCCCCAAGGAAACACCCCTGGCACCAAAAAAATTTTCAGCCAAAGCTCATGGCTGCTCCTCCCCTCTAACATGAGAGACCTTGAGTTGTGGTTTCTGAATCTCTGTTGATTTATTAAAAAGAAAAAAGCCCCAAAACTTACTGCACAACCACCAGATCCAGCTGTGACCTGGTCTCTAACTCCTCCATCCCCTCTTCCCTCCTGCACCACAGTCATTGGAACCACTTGTTTAAAGATTTTAAAGGTCAAAAGGCATCGGGAAGTTGCTGTGCCCAGGCTGATCCCATAACAGGTACTTCTTATGGCTAATTGCAGTGTCCCATTTACTTGCCTTAAAGGTGGAGAGAGAAACTTAGTATTTGCACTTAGCAAAATGTTGTATTAAAAGAAAAAAAACCTGTAAAGATGTGCATGTTCTGCAACTTTGTATAACAATAGCTGAAAATAAATAGGTGGTTTATTTAAAAAAAAAAGGAAAAAAAAAAACCAAAAATATTTTTCTTTACATTCTGGTAGTAAACAGTTCTAATATTCTGTGTGTAAAAAGTTCCTGTATTATATTGTAATTTGAATTTTTGTAAATAAATTTGTGCACTCTGGCTTTTACCTCTGTGCTTTTGAAACAGCCAAAACATCATCCTCCCATCCTGCCTGTGCTAGCCTGGTGCTGGGATAATGCCAGGGCGTGGGGCCAGATCCCAGCCTGTGCCAGTGAAAGCTCCACAGGTCGCAAGGCAAAACCCATTTGACCCTCCTGGAACAGCTTAATATGTTCCACATGCTCCCAAGATAAAACTGGATGGGGTAGAAAATGGTTTCCAGTCTCTCCTGTAAATGGAAACCAGGATGGGTAGGAAGGCTGGGAGGGGTTCCCCTCTTGCAGGAGTGTTGGTAAATGTTGGTAAATGCAGAATCCAGCCTTAAGGGGAAAAAAAGAAATGTGTGTTGGCAGCCTGGGGAGAGGGGAAGGATGAGGGTCCTTCCTGCAGCTCCAGAGTCCCTTCCCTGTGCAGGCACCCACTGCCAGAGCTGGCAAAGCTGCCTCCTCCCCAGGCCGGGTGTCGCAGTTGGTGTCACGGTGCCACAGTTGGTGCCACAGCCATGCACACACGGGTGTCAGTGAGGGCAATTGAAGCTGCTCAGCGTTTCCTGCTCTGCCCTGATTTCTCCCTGTTTATAGTCAGGAATGAACATCCTTCCTTCCTTTGGCCCTTGCAGTGCTCAAACCCCCCTCTGATGGTGACGGTCTCTGCAGGCGAAGCCCTCCCGCTCTCCCCCCACAGTGTGTGTTTTGGGGAAGCTGGGCAGCCGCCCCTTTCCCAAACTTTGCTTTATTCAAACCAGCTTTACCTTTTTAAAGCCAAGCAGGAGCCCACCAGTGCCCTGCAGGTCCCAGCCAGGCTGTGGTGGTGAAGGGTGGCTGCTCTCAGTGCAGGAGTTGACCCCAGTTCCCCTGTAAGCACTTGCTGCACCCCCCCTGCACAGCCAGCACTGGGGTTGGCCCCAGCATCACACCAGAGTGGGTTGGTTGAGTTTCAAGGCTGGTTTCAGCTGTCTCTGGACAGCTGTGGGCACATCCAGCCATCCAGGCTCCTCTGGCAGGACACATGGGCTGGGCTCCCCACCTCCTTCCCTCCTTAGTTCATCTTCCCCTTCTCCATATCACCGAGCAGAGGGGGCTGATTGCTGACCCCCACTAAACCATGCACCCAAAACCAGCATCCCATTGCTCTTCCCTCCTAGCTGGGCCATCATATGGAGGTGAAACACTTGAGTCAGGAGGAGAAAAAGCTCCCTGGGGGCATGGCTTTGCTCCTGGCTGCAAGGGCAGGAGAGCTGGTTTTGCAGGTGAGATGGTTTGCTGGTGCTGCCCCCTGACTCATCCATGTGTCACCCATTCCCAGACAAGCCCTGTGGGCTCAGTGACTTCAGGCTGCTCTGGGCATCTCCAGGGGTGACCCAGATTCCAGCTGGCTTTGGCTTTACACCTGCTTCATGGAGAAGAGCCTGTTGGTCACCATTCCCTTCCCACCAACTCCTCAGCCCCCTAGGGCCAGCCCAATCTTTGTCAGGCAATTTGGTCCCCAAAGGCTCCACCACCCCAAATCTCCATGGGCTCGTGCCTCTCATTTAAAGGCTGTTGCAGCCCTAGCAGACCACACACCAGTTTGAATCCGAATGCAGGTTTTATTTTTTAATTAATCTTTCTCCATTTGAAGCTATTTTTTTTTAAGTTATACAAATGGCACTTACAAAAAAATAATAATAATAAAAAAAAAAAATGGACAAACCCAAAACTTTAAATTTTCAGTGAGATGTTTTCAGAGAGTCACGACACCCGATAAGAGGAAACAGGAGAGATGTTGACCTAGTGTCACACGGGAGAAGCCGGAGCGGGAATTACATGGTTGGAACTGCAACAGGGACGGGGAGGAGGCAACATGGGGTGGGGGTGAAGGCCAGCGAAAGTGTGTGTCGAGTCACAGGGTCACGCAGGGCTTCATCAAGACACTTGGTCCTTCAAGGGGCAGCGTGGTGCCCGGGGGGGCACGTGGAGCCAGCGGGGCACGGGCAGCCCCTGGATGTGAGTGCAGAGCCGAGGTAGAGTCCCAGCCGGGATCCCCTGCGCCGGCAAGGGATCCCAGCCCGGAGTGTCCCCCTGGCAGGGGACAGTCGCTCGCTCTCCCAGCTGAGTTTAGCACCAAGCTCCTACAGGAGGGAGTCCCTGTCCCTCCTCATGGCTTTAAGGCTGACGAGCCCCTGCCTGGCCTCTGGCAGAGGGACCGGCCCTGGTTTGGCACGGCAGCGATGCCGCGAGCACCCTTGGCGTGGGCTGGGACCAGTGCTCCCCCCCACAGGGGGCCCACGCAGGAAAAGGCTCCTTGGTGTGTTTGCAGGGAGCAAATACCAGCCCTGGGAAGGCCCCAAAGGATAAAGTGCCTTTCAACACCCTAAAGAACACGCAGCATCACCCGTTACAGACAGCGTTAAACTAATGCAGACCTAGTACAGACAACAGCTGGTCACACAGTGCCATGGAGAGCATATATAAATAGAGACTAACAAAAATACTGTTTTGGTCTTTTTTTCTTTTTTTTTCTTTTCCAGTAGGGTTGTGATTCATGAGAGCCCAGCCCAGGTGCCCCGGGGGTGGCGGGACCAGGAGCTGCCCCCTTGGGGGAGCCCGCAGGAGCGGGCGCTTCCTAATTCAGCATTAGGTGTTCAGTGATTTGCTTCACTGTTCCAGTATTTTATGAGAGAGGAAGAAAAAAAAAACAACAAAGGTACTGAGCAAGTATCACTGTGCAAAGTTTGCTAAGGAACTTTTCTATTCTGTAAACCAAAATCTGCACTTTATGCTTCCAGCCACCGCCCCGGGGAGGTCGCGTGGGCCGGCCAGGCTCCTGCTGGGACCGAAGCCCCATGGGAGGTGGGCTGGATGAAGCCCCCACCCCAGCACAGGCTGGCTCTGTGTCCCCCCACGCCCCCCCTCCAGGCACAGCAGCAGGACCAGCCTCAGGGCAGGCACCTGCCAGGCTGGACCCACCATCAGGGTCTGGGGTGCTCCTCTAGAGCCAGAAGCGTGAGGAGGGGTGGAGGGACACGAGGAGCGCAGGGCTCTATGAGATGAAAGGCTGAGGCTTTCCAGACGGGATCACCCCAAAGAATCATTTCCAGGTGTATGGGGAGGGGAGGGGGCAGCTTGCTGGCCCTTCTGCAGGGATGTGTGCCAGCACACACCAGCCCCGTCCCCAGGGATGCTGTGATATGTAAGGTCACCTCTTACGGCTCAGCTGGGGATGGACCTGCCCTGAAAGCCAGGAGGGGAGAGAAGCTGCCGGAGGAGCTGGGAGGAGCTGGCTGAGCCCAGCACCATCACTCTGCCCCTGGTTGGCACCGTCACTCTGCCCCTGGTTGGAGCAGGGCAGGATGGGAGGATGCTCCAGGGGACACTGGCAGCACAGACTGAGGCAGTGCCAGTGCTGATATGGCAGAAGTGAGCTCAGAGGTGATCTTATTCCCTTTTTTCAATCAAGGAGAGGATAATCAACTACCTAAGGTGATGCTCAGGGCTGGGAGGGGGATACGGCGGTTTCCAAGCCCAGCAAACCTGGAGGGAAACAGGGATGGGGGATAGAGACAGACCCTTCTACAAAGCTATAGGCAGGCTGCCCCACCACTTTTCCAGTTCTTACAGGGATTTACGGAGACCCACCTCCCACATAACGCACCAACTCTACGGCAGGAGGGAAGGACAAGCCAGTCTGAAAATCCTGTTACAGAGAGGAGAAACAGAACCCAAAGGAAAAGAGGACGGAGGAAGGGAAAGAGAAGTTGGCAACGGGAGGTACCCTAAAGTGCATTAATACTCCCAGAGGGTGGAGGCGTCGATGGTGTCGGCCGATGCCTTGAGGACCCCGGCGTGGTCCCCCTTCAGGTATTTGCCATTGATTTTGATGGCAACTTTGTTATAGTCGCAGAACTCAAAAAAGAAGTCCACGGGGGTGTCGCTGCTGCTGGTGACGGACGACTCGTTCCCCACCATCCAGTACTTCCCAGTGGTATCTGCGGGAGAGGGGACAAGGTGGCCTCGTGAGCCACCACGGGGACCCCGATGCCCGTCACCCCCCAGCCCACAGCCACCCCCAGGGACTCACCCTTGATGTTGTAGGCGCCGTCGTTGAACTCCAGCTGGAAGACGTCGTAGGAGGAGCGGTTGGAGTCGAGGGTGCCGGTCACCTTCCGGCACCCGATGAAGCCGTGCTCGCCACGCAGGACGATGATGGGCCTGTTGATCAGCTTCATCACGAAATGCTCCGTCTCACCTGCGCCGAGGGCAGAGGGGCTGTGAGAGCAGCTGGGGGGGCACAGAGCAGACCCCACGGCTGGCAGGCAGCAGTGAGGAGGAGGGGCACACACACTGGGGCCGCCCCAGTGCGGGGTGGGGTCCCCAAGGGGGTGCCTTACCCGCTGTCTCCATGGAAGCTGCCAGCTGCCCGTTCTTCTTTGCCGTCACGTACTTGCCATTGGCAGCTTTCAGGGTGATGCGCTTGTCGCACCACTCGATGTCGAAGTAGCAGCTCGCGTTCCTGGGGGGCAGAGAGGGAGGTCAGCGGGATGTGATGGATGGGGGCCCTGCCATTGCCACCCTGCTGGCTTGGAAAGGGTCACGGCTGGATCAGGAGACCCTGCTTCGATCTGTTTTTGCAGGATGAACCATGTTGTGGTGGCCATCCTGCTGGGAAGCCCTTGCCCTACAGGCAGGAGGCAGGCAGGCAGCCAAATGTGCTTTTGGGGTTTCCGCCTGGCTGTCAGGGTTGAACTGCAGGGAAAAGCATTTCGACAGCCCCGGCCAGCCGGGAAGGATTACGTGACCCCAGGGACTTGCTGAGCGTCGTGGGCGGCAAACCCCAGCCCATCCCTGGCTTTCTGGGGAATGCACTCACTGCCTGTGCTGGGAAGCGTTTTAGGGCGAGCACCCAGGCTGGAAAATCCCCTTGGATTCCCTTGGGAGATGCAGAGGGTTCTCTGAAGCCTAGGCATGCCCCTGCTTAGGACAGGGGACTCACTTTGTGGAGGCAGTGGACTGGATGCCCCCGTTGGAGGTGAGGGTCCAGTACTTCCCAGTGTAGGTCCGGAAGGCGCATTTCTTGGTGTCCTTGTTGATCTCCAGCTGGTAGGTCTCCTGGTCACCCTCCTCATCCTGGTTGGCAGAGAGGTCCATCCCTATGGAGCAGAGACAGATGGAGGTGGGGGTCCCAGGGAGCAGGGGGACAACAACCCACCTCCAACAGGTCTGGGTGCAGGGTCAGGAAACCCAACTGAGAGGGGCTCCTGCTCCCTGGTTGAGCTTCGGTGACTCCCAGATCCCTCACACAGATCTCCTCTCTGGCATTTTGGGTTCAAACCCAGGTTTTCATTTGGCTGCTTGGTGTTACAGCCATAAACAAGAGCTGGGCTGAGCTGAGGCAGCCGTGAGCTTCCACTCCTGACTTTCTGGCTCCGTTATGATGAAGCAAAGACCAGTGTAAATATTTCATATGGAAAAGGACTGCAGTTTTTCCCAAAGATGACAGCCAGGTTACTCAAACCATTAGCAGAGGCCACTGCAGCACCCATGAATCCCAGCTCGTGGCGTGTTTAAGGACCGTGGCACCGTTTTTCATCCACAAATTGTCACAGCCTGCTGGGGTGGTGAGGTGTGCAGGGACAGGAGGCTTGGGAAAGCCCTGGGGCAGCCAAGCCTTTCCCTAACTCCCAAAAACCATTGGTACCAGCCTGTTCCTCAGCCAGGATGACCCATCCCTGCACCAGAGGGGCCAGAGGCAGCACTTCCATGGCAGAGGTGGATGCAGCCAGTCCTGGGGCTACCACCAGGCCATGTGCATGTCCAACACAGGCACTGAGCCTGAGGAAACCTGCTTAGTCAGGCCTAGTGGGGCCAAATCTACTCCAGAGCTCTCCAGCTTGGTGGATTTCTGCCTAAAACCACTTTGGGGATGTGAGTCACGAGCCGTAGCCCGGAGCCAAGCCAAGAGGCCGAGCTGCCATGCCGGGTTTCAGGGAGGGAGCCGGGATGTGGAGCTCAGCCCCACTGCTCCCTGCCTGCCTGCAGCTGGGATGGGTGGAGGTGGGTCCAGGGGGACATGGATCTGTAACCTGTGAGAGGAGCCCAGGGATGGCACTTTAGTGGAACCAGGAGTTTTCCAGAGCAGAAGTCCCACCAGCTGCACCCACCTGGGGAGGGTCCATCTACCTCCACACACCAGCCATGGAGGTGCCTTCCCACAGGTCCTGCAGACACAGCTCCCTGGGGCTTCCCACTGCCCATCTGCATTTCCAATCAGGCATCCCCATCCAGAGGCACCCAGGAGCAGCCTCTGCTTTGCATCTTGGTCTCCCACCTTTCCCAAAGGGATCAGGTTTGTTCCCAGGGGCCACAATCTTATCTCCCACATCCAAACTGGCCTATGGCTGCCACCCTGTTCACAGCATCCCCTCTCCTGACAGGCATCCTCCAGCACCTCCTGCAGCTCCTATCCCTGGAAGTGTTCACAGCCAGGTTGGACGGGGTTTGGAGCAACCTGGTCTAGTGGAAGGTGTCCCTGCCCATAGTGGGGGGTTGGAACTGGATGATCTCTCCTGATGGACACAGAGCCACCCTGGTGTTTTGCTCTCCAGGGTATTTGGGCAGCACAGGGGACAGTGGGTGCTGCATGGCCATGAGCCCCAGCCCTACTGGCCACTCCCTTGGCTCACGTGGCCGTCTCACACTCACTGCCTCCTGGAGCTGCCGCGGGCTGAGCCAGTGGTTGTGGAAACATTTGGTTTTCATTTTGCATCCCGGCGTCAGGCAGCTCCAGCTCCAATCCAGAGCCATAAAACTGAGAGAGGGGCTCTGCTGGGGCTCATGGAGAGACTGGGCTGAGCGAGGGCACACTGGGGAATGCTGCCCCCAGTCACTCACCCCCAAACCTCCCAAACCTGGGAGAGCTGTCCACGTGGTTTGAGGGGGAGGAGTGGAAGGTGATGCTTCCCATCACTGCACCTTTGGGGGAAGAACTCATTGACCTGGAGGGATCATGCTGGGGAGAGCCAGGGGGATGCTTTGTGCCACAGAGAAGGATCAGATGGGCTGGAGACAGGATAGAGAGAGCCAGGAGCCTCCAAACACCGTCCCCTCTCCCCAGAGACCCCCCACCACAGAGCACAGCACACCCACCACCTTCCCCCACACAAACACTCTTGTACCATTTTCCACACTCACTGTTGCATGAAGTTTTGGCTTTCCCTGTTTCCTGGATGGGCCTGGCAGCAGGAGGGTCTCCCACCACCCCCTCCCCAAAAGCAGTGTGGGGTTGGGTTACACCAGCTCAGCAGAAAGGAATGCAGCTGGGGCAGGAGGAGGCTTCAAAGGGCTGGAACTGAGCTGGAGCGGGAGAGAGTTGGGGGTTCAAAGCTGGGCAGGATGGGGGGAACTGGAGGAAGCAGGGGCTGTGAGGAGGCAGATCCAGATCCGACAGAGATGTCCCCGTGGTGGAGGACGGGCTGTCCCCAGCCATGCCCCTGCTGTGGCAGCCCAGGGCTGTGGCAGGAACCACATCCACCCGCTCTCCCGCCGCGCCTGGCCCAGCCGCTCCCACTGCAATCATGGATTAATTAACGCTCCTGGTAAATTTACAGTCTGGAGCTGGCACCGCTCTGCATGACCTTGACGAAGCTGCTAATTACAGCTGGAGGCGGGAGGGGGGCGAGCACACGGCGGCTCTTTGGGAGGTACACCTGCACTCCCCAAAATTCCTGGTGTGGGATGTCCTCCGGCTCCGTCTGCAACATGGGTTTGCTACAGGGATCCTGGGGAGGATGCAGAGGTTGGAGGTGGGAGGGCTGAGGCAGGTGTCTCCCCAGGCCTTCCTAATCCTGAGTCCCTAGGCTCAAGGTCCTTGGAGAGACAGGGAAGGGCAATGGGGTGAGCCAGCACTGGAGCAGGAAAGGGCTCCCCAAGTCCTCGGCTGCCGAGGTTTCCAGCTGCTGCCAATCCTGTGGTTTTGAAGGATTGGTGCTGGAGCCCTTGCTACTCTCCAGCCTAAGTGGATGTACACACAGTTCGGAGCACACACATCCCTTCCCATAGCTCCCAGAGATGTGAGCTTCTCCATCTAAAGGAGCAGAGTTTGCTGTAGCTGTGTCGAGCCCCACACTACAGGGGCTGCAGACCCAGTGCTGGGGCATTTATGGCACGTAGAAAACTTTCCCCCTACACTCAACTCGCACAGGTCTCCTATGGGCCATCTTGGGATGCTAGTGAGACTCAGTGGGATGCACTCCATGGAGAGGAGCATCTTTCCCATCCTCTAACTCCCTTTTTAAAAACCCCACGGTTATGTCTGAAAAAAACCAAGCTCAGCTCCCTGTACAGGAGCACTGGCAGGATCACACAGAGCCCCCAGTCCCTCGGGACAGAAAGGCAGGATTTCAGGTCCTCGTGTCCCAGCAGTCTGGATTGGGATGCTGCACCCGGTGCTGCTGGCACAAGTCGGGTCTGGGCTCCCTGTGGGGCTCTGGCACCCTCCACCCGGCACACGTGCTCCCAGACTCATCCTGCCCCATCCCTGCCCTTGGGCTGGGCTTACACTGCACCCCTACAGAAATCCAAACAGGTTTTTCTCTAAAAGCAACAGCCTGGAGCTATGGCACCGGCAGCTCCTCTGCTGGGGGTGCAGCCCCGCAAGGGGGTCACGGGTGGGGGTGAAACACGAATTTCCTGAATAACCCACCCCTCCTTCCCTGTGGATTTCCTGTGGCTTTGTGGTATCCCCCAGGTGTCAACAGGTCACTTGGCATCTCCTGATGGAAATGTGCATCTAGGCCTGCATGTCCCCCACCCTGGAGCCACATCTCCCTGCCTTTCGTGGAGATGAACGGAGGGGGGTAAATCCAGCCCACCCCATACTGGGAGGGCTCCTGGCCCTGGAGCAGAGCTCCCCATCGCCGGCACTGCATGCCCAGGCATGCTCCCATCACCACTCTGCTCGCTCGACCCCCTCCCTAGACCCCATTTTCCTGGAATTCCTCACTCCCGAGCCAGCCCACCCTCTCCCCCATGGGGGTGGGGGGCAGGGGCACACCGTGGCTGGGCGGGGGGCTGGCAGGGTCCCAGCAGGAGGATGCCAACGCTCTGCCCCCGGGGACCTTCACGCCCACAAAGGGCCCTTTGTTGCCACAGCCGGGCTAGAAAGGAGCCATTGAGCAGGGAGGAGGCTGCTCGCTGCTGGCAGCACCCCGGCTCTGCTCCATTTGAGGGGCAATGGGGAGATGAGGGCTTTCAGGGATCCCATCCTTCTGGGGCTAGAGGCAGGAGAAATGTGCCAGGGACACCCCCAGCACCAGAGCAAAGGCAGGGCTGGCACCCACCCCTTTCTCCCCCGGGATTGTTTGTGTTGCAGCCCCCAGTGTGCAGGGGATGGTGACACCAGCCATCCTCAGGACAGGGAGGAGACTCCAAGCCAGGCACTGACTTGGCACTGGTGAGACAACACTGTCCCAAAGCTGGATCCCAGCCAAGGGAGCCACAGAAGCCCCATGGCTCCATCCCTGCTCCTCCCATGAGGCACGGGAAAGGGGGGGGGGGGCACTGCCGTCCCCACTCCCTCCCTGACTCCACGCAGGAACAAGAAGCCTTTTCCCACGAGGCTGTGTCGAGCTGCAGTCGTTCCCTGCCCGCATCCCACATCCCACTCCCCCATCCCCGGTGGCCATGGGCGCATCTGCCAACAGCACGGCGCTTATCAGCTCGGCGGGGGAAAGGGCTGTCTGGAACCGCTTCCTCCGACGGCTGCTTTGGGGCTGCCTTCTTGGTAACCTTGGGATAAGGCACTTTCCCAACGGGAGGAGGGAGGGCGAGCCGCAGAAAGCGGCAGCTCCCAGCCCTTCGCTGCCATCGGGAAGGATTAACCGGGTGGAAACGGCTTCCCTGGCCAAAACGGACTAGAGCGAGGATGTACAGCCCCAGCGCAGCCCTTCCCTCTGTATTTTGCTTGGAAAGGGGCCGGGCACAGCCCAGAGCCCCCTGTTGCTGGGGAGATTTATGCACCCCCACCCCCCCGCCTTCCTGCTCCCCCCCCTCCCCGTCCCTTCCAAACGACACAAAGCCGGCGGGTCGGCCAGCAGCATTCCCACCCGCTCCACGGGGTCCCGCACCACCGCCTCCCCGTCCCTCACATCTCCCCCCACATCTGGTTTCCCCATCTCTGGTGACAAAGGGCTGCAGCCGCCCTTCCCCCACAGCGCTGCGGCAGCCTCCCGCCATCCTCCCGCCATCGCCATCCTCCTCCTCTTCCCCCAATCCCTGTGCCTGGGAAAACAATCCCCACTGCCCGTCTTGGCAGATTTCAGTACTTATTTTTAAGGGGCTGCTTTGCAGCGCGGGACTTGCCCTCGAACAGGAGAAAGGCAGGGAGCTCCTGCACAGAGCTGCCCAGGCACGGAACAGGGTTAAGCTGCAACCCTGAATTATTACATATACACAGAAAAAAAAAAAAAAATCCCCCGCTGTTCCTCCAGGCTTTGCTGCAGCGAGACATGCTCGCACCCATCCCGCGCCCGGCGTGCGCCGGCCTGACCTGGCTCGCCGGGGATGTGCCCCGGGGGTCCCACAGCCCTGCGCCCCCCGGCAGCGCGGAGAGGGACCCCCGTCCCCCAGCACGGACCCCTGGGGGGTGTGATGCTCGGTGGCCAGGTGGCCACGTGCCCGGGGAGCTTTGCCGTGTGGCACCACTCGAGGCGGGTGGCCCGGTGGCCTCTCGGGCGAGCGGAGGGGACGGGGACGGGCGGTGCAGCTGGAGCGGGGGGAATGGCTGCCTTTGTGCGGATGGATGCAGGATGCGGGAGTTTTTTGTCGAAGCCCTTTATGTAACGCTGCCATCCCAGCCCCCCACACCCAGGGGGAACTCCAGGCCCTTGCGAGGACCCGCAGCCCCACTGAGGACCCGCAGCCCCCCAGCTCCGCAGGGCACATGGCTCAGCGATGCTCTGGGAAGGGGGAGGTTGGCGGAGGCTTTGTTGGGCGAACAATGAGCTCCACAGGAAGGAAGGCGACGGATACAGCCCTGCCTCCTTCACGGCGAGGGAAGACCCCATCCACCCCCTCCCAGCCCCCTTCCCTGTCCATCCCTGCACCCCAAGGCAGGCCCCTCGCCATCCCCCTCCCCCAGGGCACCCTGCGGAGGAGATGCTGCAGGGACGGGGATGCTGGAGGGATGGGGGCCCCCAGGCAGGCGATGCTGGAGGGATGCAGGAGGGGGAAGGGAAGGGATGTGGGAGGGGTGCAGGGGGATCATGATAGGGGACTGGGGGAGGGACGGCGGGCAGCCATGCTGAGGGGTGCAGGGGGGTGCCCAGGGGAGATGGGGGCTTCAGGGGAGGGGAGTGAGAAGGGGTCTGAGCGGGGGATGATCCTAAGGAGATGGCGGAGAGATGCAAAGGGACGTTCTGTGAGGTGGCTGCTGCAGGAAGGCAGGGGATGCTGGGGGACGCGGGGGGGCTGCCAGGGGGGCAGTGCTGCGGGGGGAGGGGGGCATTCCGAGGTGGTTGTTCTGAGGTGATGGAGGTGATGCCGGGGGGATGAAGAGCATGCTCGGGGCAGGCGATGCCCGACGGATGCCGATGTCTGAGGGATGCAGCGGGCTGCTGGGGACGGGCGATGCCCGAGGAAAGCCGATACCCGAGGGGTGCAGGGGCGCAGGGCGACACCCCAGGGACTCTGGGACGGCCGAGGTGTCCCGTTCCCCCCACCCCCAGCGCCCGTCCGTCCCCTCGTACCTTGCCGGGTGGAGACATTCCTATCGTTGCCGGCTCGCAGCACGACCTGCGGGCAGCTCTGCTCGAGGGCGAAGAGCTCGTCCTTGCCCACCTTGGCGCTCTTGCCCACCTTGAGGGTGCCGCTGGGCCCCGAGGGGGCCAGGTAGCGGCCCTCCCCGTCGCGAAAGGCCACCTTCCCGCAGCGGAACTCCAGCGTGAAGGCGGTGCCGGGCTCGGCGGCGGGGACCAGGCGGCCGTCGCTGCGGAGCAGGCGGTGGTCGCAGCTCTGCAGGCTGTACCGCTGGTCCACGAACAGGAGGGTGATCAGAGCATCCACGCCCCAGGGCACGTCGCGGTCCACGGCCAGCTCGTCGCGGCGGGGCCCCAGGTGCGCGTAGCGCTTGCGGGCCAGGCTGTAGAGGTTGGCCTGGGGGTGCATGGCCAGGTGGACGCTCCACTTCTCGGCGGCCGAGACGGCGGGCGCGAAGCAGGAGAGGCGATCCTCGGTGCCGCCGAAGAAGCGGCGGTGGGGCTCGGACTGCAGCGACCACCGCCCGTCGCCGTGGGCCAGCACCAGGAACCGGCAGTCGGGGCCCGGCTCCTCGCTGTCGCAGCTCACCCGCCCGTCCTTGTCGGCCGCCAGGTACCGGCCCAGGTGGCTCTTGAGCAGGACGGCGCTGGAGTCCTCCCCGTCCTGCTCCAGCGTCCAGATCTGCTTCTTCTTCATGCTGGCGGCCGAGGCGTTCACCTTGAACCCGAACGCCTCCGCCGTCAGGTACCGATTGCTGCAGTTGATCAGCCCGAACTGGATCTGCACCGGCTCCGCCGTCCCGTTCGCCGTCATCCTGCCCCGCCGCCGACCGACCGACACGGACCGACCGACCGACACCGAGAGCTGCTGCTGCCGCGCCCGCCCCGACGCCGCCGCCTTTATAGCGCGGCCGCCGCGGTACCGCCCCCCCCGAGCCCCCCCGTCCGCCGGGGCCGCCTCCCGCCGCGACCCCCGCCCGCCCCCGCCCGCCCCCCGCATCGCCGCGGGGCCCCGCGGCAGGACAGGACCCCTCTGGGCGCGGCGAGAGCCCCCTGGAATCGCAGGACATCATCCCCCGCTCCATCGCGGGACTCCACTGCATGGAGAGACCCTCCCCTGTATTGCAAAAGCCCCCTGAATTGCAGAGACTCCCCCTGGCCCTTGCAAGATCCCCACTGCATGGCAAGACCCCTCCCTGCATTTCAGGACCCCCATACACAGTGCAAGTCGCCTCTGCATGGCAAGAGTCCCTCTGGATTTCAGGACCACCCCCCCATTGAAGGATGCCCACTGCACAGCAAGACCCCTCCCTGCATTACAAAAGCCCCCATGAATTGCAGGATCCCCCCACATTGCAAAACCTTCACTGCATAACAAGATCCCTCCATGCATTTCAGGAGCCTCCTTGAACTGCAGGACACTCCTTCCAAGGCAAGTCCCCAGTGCTTGGCAAGACCCCTCCAGGAACAGTGAGAGCCCCCTTGAATTGCAAGACCTCCCCACTGTATAACAAGACCTGTCCTTGCATAGAAAGATCTCCCTTGAATTGCAGGACCTCCCCACATTGCAAGACCCTCTAAGAACTACAGACCCCCCCTCCCATTATGAGACCACCCCTTGCACTGCAAGACACCACCTTGAACTGCAAGTATCCCTCTGATTGCCCCACCCCATCCTTCTCCAAGACACTGCCGGACCCCCTGCACCCCTCTGTCCCTCCGGGGATGTTGGCCACGACACAGGGCTGTGGGACAGATGTGGAGAAGGGTGACAGATGCCGTGGCCTCCTGCCATCTCTGAGCCATCCCAGCACCCTGTGCCAGGCACCAGCGAAGCTGGAGCATCCAGGCCCTGTGGAACTGAATTCCCACAGCAAATCCGTGAGAAAGACAGGGACGCTTCTGCACAAGGGGGGATTTTGAGGCCATTTCTCAGGGGTGGGCAGTGTTGCCATGCATGCAAGGACATGGCACATACAGCAGGACTGACCCCGAGATGGAAAGGGTCCATCCTGGAGAGAGCCACTTGTGCTGCCCAGAGGTGCTGCCCGCTGCTCCTTGGGGACAGGGACACTTCTCGTGTCTACAATGTGGACACAAACACCAATAAGTAGGAGCAGGGCTGCTGTGGCTGATTTGAAGCTGGCTCAAGCACAGCCCCACGCTTGCAGGGGGGACTGACTGGGGGGAATGTGCAGAACCAGAAAACTGGAGAAAGAGGGATGATGGGAGGCACAGATGGGATGGTATTCAGCTGGATCAGGAAGCTGAACTGCCTGTCCCAGTGGAAGCAGGACAAGAGAAGAGCCGAGCGTGGGTGTGGGTGGGAGGGTGCAACAGTGTGTGCTCAGGGCTGGCACAAAGAATTCCCCCGGGCTCTTCCAACCCAGGCGGGATGGCATCCTGTCCCCACCTCCCGAGGCCCTTCAGGCTCCACTGGTTCTGCACTGGCCATACTGGTTACAGACACTGCTCCACCCCCAGGCAGCACCACATCCACCCGCCCCTGCCCAGGGGTCCCTGGCACAACCGCTCCAGGGCAAACCTGCCAGGCTGGGAAAGCATCTGTTTTCCTGGATGCCTCAGCCAGACCTGCTCTGTGCTCATCCTTGCTGCCCAGCCCTGCAAATCCAGACAGACCATTTCCAACTGGAGCCAACCCCATAGACTGTTGTCTGGGTTAGAAACAGGTCCCCCCGCCAGCTCCACTGAGGCAGATCCATGTTTGTCCCACAAACCCTGTTTTCTGCTCTGGCTCAAAGCCCCCCTGCATTAGGACCTGGCCATGAGGTCGAGCAGCTGCCCAGGCCCACAGCTGCCGGGCTCTGCCTTCCACAGCCGCCGCAGGCAGATGGTGGCGAGGCTGGGAAAGAAACAGCTTTTCTCCTCAACAAAAAAAAGTAACAATTATACAGGGGGAAAAAAACCCCATCCTGTATTCACCCAGCAGTGTAGCATGGGTGGGTGACACTGGTGGATGGTGGCACTGGTGGATGGTGGCACTGCCTGGCTCAGTACATCTTGCCCCTCCAGAGCAAGCAGCCAGCTTGTACCCACCCTGCCTGCACCCACCCTGCCTGCACCCTCTGCTCTGGGGGAGGTGGGGGAGCCCCAAACACTGTCTGAGACCTCTTCACACGTCACTGTGGTAGCAAAGGGTGATCAGAGTCCCCTTGACTTGGGGGTGCAGCAGCCAAAGCCTGTCTCCCGAGTGCATCCGTGCGTGCCAGTGTGCTGGAGCGGTAGGAAAGGCACTGGGTTTCCCCCTATATATTGCATTTCCTGTCGTCTTTGCAAGCTGCCGTGACTAAACGCTTCTGAGGTCACCCCCCACAGCCTTCCCACTGCTGCTCCTGCAGGAGACCCAATCCCTGGCACACAGCATCCATGACAAGGGCTTTCCAGAGCACGGCCTTGTCCCCCTGGAGGGGTGCGTGACTCACCCGCTGGGACTTCAAACAGATCACAGCTCCAAAAGGGAAAAGCCAAGAGAAAAGGAGCCCCGGTCATGGAGTGACCCCTGTCTTGCCTGCCTCGGGCACAGAAACGCCCTCAGATTTTCATGCTTGCCTGGACACTTTTTGTGGCAGCCCAACTTCATTTGCAAGCAGTCCCGGGGTTTTCAGTCAAGCTCATGAAATTGGGATGGAAGGCAGAGCTGGGCACCGCAGGGAGGGTGGGATGCAGGGCATGCTGTGTCAGGGGGTGCCCAAAGCCAGTGCCACTGGGTCACCCCTCAGAGCACAGCTCTCCTCTGGCTTCAAGGCACATCTCAGCCACCAGTCTGGCCTAAGCCCTCCTTGTCCATGGAGCAATTTTGGGGGCTCACTGCGAGGGGGCTGCTGGCCCCCTCGACCCTCCAGGACCCCCACATGCTGCAAATCCCATCTCGGTGTCCATGGCACGTGTGGACAGATGTCCCAGGGGTGTCCATGTCCCCCATGGTGTCTGTGAGATGGCCCAGGCTGGCCTGGGAAGTCCCCCCCAGTGCAGATACCCCCTCACCCCACAGAGGTTGGGGTGCATTGCTCATGGTCAACATCTCTCCAGCCATCCCTGTCCCTGCATGGGACAGGGCTCGGTGACAACAGGAGCCCTTGTGCAGGATGAGGTCACCTTGTGCAGCCATCCAGCTGTCCTACAGTGGATCCCCCTATCCAGTGGGATAAAGGGCTTTGCCAAAACAGCCCAGCGATTGGGGACCACTGGATCAGGGCTAGGAACAAGCCCCAGGTACAGATCCAACACCCCAGCTGGAGGTTGCTTCTCCCCAGGTCCCTGATGTGTCCCTTGCTGCTGCTGGGGGCCATGGGGACACCCTGGGGTGCCTGGCTGCCCTGGCCTCACTGCCATATGCCACAGGCAGCTCAGCAGAGGTTCTCCGAGGGCTCTCCCGACAGTTGGCAGGCGCCCCGGCCTCATTAAAATTGTATTAGGCTGTATTTAAAAAGAAGCAGCAGCACCAGGGAAAACAAAGAGCGGCCCTAAGAGAGGGGCTCAGAGAGTCAGATCGCGCTCCGGGGGTGTTTTCCCATGGGATGCTGCCCCAAGGGGGTTTGCTGAGCCCCATGACCCAGGAAATGAGGGAGAGTGGTGGAGTATCATCGGGGCTCAGCCGTGTTCCCATGTCTCATGGCCATCAGGAGTGGACGTGGCACATGCTCAGCTCTATTAGCTGGATTTATCCCATTAGCCTGCTTTAATTGCATCCAAAGCACAGGGATAGCAACGCTTGAAGCGCCTTGTTTCAAGCACTTTGGGTGCTGGGCACAGGCAAATGAAGGAAGGAAGTGGATGAGAGCACACATACGGTCCATGTTGGGACTTTGTCCCTCTTTTCCTGCCCCAGCTTGTTTTCTGATGTTTTCTGGCGTGGTTTTTACATTATCAGAAGCTAAAGCGAAAACCTGCCCCTTCCTCTGTCTCCCCCAAGGACCCTGCGGAGGTGGGACAGAGGCCGGAGCCTGGTTCATCCAGCAGAAGAAGGAATTTTATTAGGAAAGCTTAAAAGACCTTTTGTGTAGCAATGATTAACCTCTGCAGCAGGGACAATGCTCTTTGTCCTGGACCCAGCGCCCTGCCTGGTCCCCTGGGGGCTCTCATGGGACACGAGGCTCCTGTAACCCCATGGAAGTGTCCAGGAGCAGGACACAAGAGACACAGGGCATTTTTCAGGACAAAATACCAGGCAGCAGGGGATGTTTTCCAGCCTTTCAGAAGAAGATTAAAAACAAAAAACAAAAAAAACAAACCAGGAAAAAAGTTAAAATCAGGACATGTCCATCCTTTGCCGCCCATTTTGCAAGTGGAGGGTGTGAGGGCCCTGGGGACTTTTGCAGCCAGGAAGACTCCAGTGCCAGCCCCATCACATGTCCCCGCTTTTAACTCCCCGCCGCAGCGCGGAGTCAGCACCGAGGAGTTTGCAGGGAAGAAGAAAGTGTGTTATCAGCATCTGCCCACACAGCTCCAAAATAACCCGGCCCAGGCAGCGCCGGGCGGAGCAGGTGACTCAGCGTGCGGCAGCGGCTCCTTTCTGCTCCGATTTCCTCGCTCGGTCATGCCCAGATCCATGTTTCCCACTGCAGTCCGTGCACTGTGTCCGATGCCACTTCTGCCCGTGGCCTCATCCAGGGCTGCCAAAGGGTTTGGTGGGTAGAGGAGGGGCAGGCAGGGAGAATTCAGGCATTCACTGCCTGAATCGCCAGAGCATGGCTGCTCTCTCCGGACCCACAGCATCCCAAAGCTGATCCGAGAGTGGCTGGGATGGTGATCCCCATCGCCGGTGTGACACCGCTGTGACCCAACACAACCCAGTGGTTCCATCCTCACCTTGGGATAGAGCACAGTGCATCCCAAAGAGA